GACAAGGTGACTCAAACAGTGAAAATGACATGAATATCACACAGTGGGCAACAGCATATTTTGAAATAAAGGATTTACAATGTTTTGATCGTGTCTCCTGTGAAGCTGATCTTCTGTTTGCATTCACTCACTGCGTACGGACTGTCACTCACAATACGTTTACGCCGGCTACAGATGCACACTTCACAAGATACCACAGCTGGATTTGATTAAAACTGCAAGGTTTGTGAAATGTTTATATAGATATTCTGAATTTTGTTTAAATTATGTAGATGCGAGTTTGCTGAATGTTGACAGTAAATGAGAAAATGTATTATAGGCTGATTGATTGCCTTTTCCACAGATTTCCACAGTATTTTCAATTTTGACATTTTTCGGTCAAATCGGTGTTGTCTGTCAGTCATTTAATGGAGGTCTATGGAGCCCACCTCAAAATTAAACATGATTTAATGACTTGTACATGTAAGTACACATTGATGGCCTAAGACACGAAACGAGTGGTTTGTGTGAGAAAACGAACAGTATTTATATAGTTTTTACCTCTTGTTAACAGCCGTCGAACTGATCTGAATCAGATGTTCAACTAAACCGTCTCCAACGTGACGCCTGAAGTGATCGCGTGCGTATGTACGTATGCACGCATTGTTTACACGGAGATTTCGGAAGTTTTACCTTTCACTAAACATATTTAGATATACGGGAAATCGCAATGGAAGACGATTTCGATATATCAAAATATGTTTAGTGAAAGGTAATGCTCCCGAAATCTCAGTGTAAACAATGCGTGACGTACATATGCACGCACTCACTTCCGGCGTCACGTTGAAGACTGTTCGGTTCAGTGGGACATCTGATTCAGATCAGTTCGACGGCTGTTAACAAGAGGTAAAAACGATATAAATACTGTTCGTTTTCTCACACAAACCGCTCGTTTTGTTTCTTAGGCCATCAGTGTGTACTTACATTCACGAGTCATTAAATCATGTTTAATTTTGACTTCTCTGTGCATGCTCTTTGAGGTGGGCTCCATTATATGACTGAAAGACAACACCGGTTTGACCAAAAAATGTCAAAATTGAAAATGCTGTGGCAAAGACACCTACATCTTGGATGCCCTTTAGGTTAGCTAAAACTTATCAAAAATTAATTTCAAAGTGAACTATCCCTTTAAGGAAAACTCAACTCATCTCAGAAGCATTAAACAGTAGGCTACACATCTCTCAAAGCCCAAAAAGTGACGCCGTATTAAACACTTATGCTTTTGTTTGAAGCACTATAAATGTTTTAAATAACTTGGGTTGTGCTCCTTTCCTGCAGCAGCTCACTCTGTGTCCTCCACTTTTTTTTTTTTTTTTCTGTATGCATGTGCCGGAAGTAAAAATTCAATACAATTTCTCCATTGACAGTTGGGATATAAGCCATTAAAATGTAACCATACATGGTAGACTTAAAACCAGCTAAGCCTGTACTAAGCGATTGTATATGCTCATATAAACACCAAAAGTTCATGGGGCACTAACCTTGTTTTAAGATAAATGCCTTTTATTTGCGATGTATTGGATAAGTGCTTCATTACCCACAAGCCTGAACAATCCCACAGTGATGCATCTGATTCATTGAAGTCGTGTAACGTGTCTGAAACCCTGCGAAGGTACGTGAAGAAGACTGAAGATTGTGTAATGACGTAAGGCTAAGTTCATTGGTCGCACCTCAGAGGCGCCCGCACCATTGGATTTCCAGTTGCCGCAGCACAGCCTATGAACAAGCCGAATGCTCAATGTTTTAGCATGTGCAGCTGCAAATGTGTTAAGCTTCAGTAAATCGAGGAAAATTAGTTTCCCTGCACATTCACTATATAAAATTTACTGGAGGAAAAAGTTCACGTGGCCGTCGTCAGATTTGGAAGTCACTCAAAAGGCTTTTTCACTGTAAACCCATTTCTTTTTTTCATTTTCTCTTCATGTTTTCACTCGAAACGATATGTTGTATGCTTATGAGTTCAGCCGTAGCTGGTTATCCTCAGACATGCTCTAATACTCTTTAGATATGGATTTTACAAAATGTCAATGGGAGGAATAAATGGGAAATTTCATTCCAGCACCAACGCTCTCTCGGGCTGCGGGCGGGACTGTGATGCTCTGTCGTCCAAATGTTTTAGTCACTACCTTAGAGCGACGTGACTGCAAGGTGTGCAGATGCAACAACTCGATTATTCAAATTCTTTGTTGATTTATTTTAATTGTTGCAACCCTTATATCATTAGGAAATGTGTATAGCCTAACCTATATTTAAACATTTGACAATAGTTAAATTAAGTTATTTTTGCCTTGATGTTTAAATAACACATTACATTTTTGAGTTATGTAAACATTTTGTACAAAAAATTATAAAATTGTTTTCAAAATCGAATAAAACCAACTCCGAACTCAAACTCCAAACTAGAATTCTATAAAACTCTTTATTAAACGAATAGTTCCAATCCTTGATTCTGATTCGTTCATGATAAAACACGGCTATGACCGCTTCTCCCAACGGTTCTATTTATCACTGTGACACTGCAGTTCCTATGTTGTTGTTATTTAGCTTTCATGCATTTTACACATTGGAACGTTATTGCTGTTCACGGTTTCTAGCTATTTTTTTTTTTCCTAGCAGAAGGAAGGCTTTTAGTGATTTTACTTCATGATAGTAGCACTAATACATATTTTTTTTACTTGAATATTTCCATTGTGTGGTAATCATTTTATAAAAGCAATAAGGTACTTGAGGCAAGTGCTCTAAGTGATCTAGTTGTCTATTCAGTTGGCCTCTGAGGGATCTTGTACCGACCCTTTAGGTGTAATTTGCCGGTGGGACATCTCCCCACCACTTTTGAAACATCTCACGGCACAAATGTACCAATACAAATAAATAAAAAAATGTCCAATTAAAGGAGTAGTTAACTTTTAAAAAAAAATTTTAATTCATCAAATGTCATCCAAGTCATCCAAGATGGCCATGTCTTTCTTTTTCAGTCGAAAAGAAATTAAAGTTTTTGATGAAAACATTCCAGGATTTTTCTCCATATAATGCACTTCATTGGGAACCAAACAGTTCAAGGTCCAAATGACAGTTTCAGTGCAGCTTCACAGGGCTTTAAACGATGCCAGACGATGAATACGGGGTCTTATCTAGCGAAACGATCGGCCTTTTCAAAAATAAATAAAAAAGTTTAAGTTTTATAAGCACAAATTCTCGCCTTGCTCTTTTCTGTGATGAGCGTTTGTGACTCTCCTGTTCACACTCATTCATCAAAATGAACAAATCTTTTTTCGAGTCATGACTAGAAGGGTCCTAGATAAGATATCGTCTGGTGTCGTTTAAATCCCTTTGAAGCTGCACTGAAACTCCCATTTGAACCTTGAACCGTTTGGTTCCCAATGAAGTCCATTATATGGAGAAAATCCTGGAATGTTTTCATCAAAAACCTTAATTTCTTTTCAACTAAAGAAAGAAAGACGTGGACATCTTGGATGACATGGGGGTGAGTAAATTATCAGCAAAAGTTTTTTTTAAAAGTGAACTACTCCTTTAACTAGCAGAGCATTTATTTTGTTAGTTTGTTAATTAAGAGGTGATCTAGTGCTGAAATGTGATGTTTTTTTGAAGTCAAGTGTTCAAAGTGCTCATTGCTGCTGCGATCAGTGGCACGGATACAGAGTTCTCTTGTGGTACGCTCACAGTCTTCACTCGTACTCGCGCTTCAATCCATTGTGAAAACTCTCTATTTGTTCCAGTGAAATTACAAAACAAAATGCACACCGTGTCCCTTCCTGATATTCAACCACTGATAAACATCATTGGTTTTGATGAGAAAAAAAAAAAAAAAAACCTGTTCAAGTGCAGATTAGAAACCAGAACCTCTGATACGCTTGTCTAAAGTTCTGCCACTGGACCATTTAAATACACCCTTAAAACAGTCGGATCTAGGCTATGTATTTATTCACGTGAAATTTCTCGCCACTGACAACATCTATTAGACTTGATTAAACAACAAATTAAACCAAATGTACTATTTAAATTGATTGCTGGACATATGTTGTTCTGCATTTACAAAATAGAATATGTTGATTACTTCAGTATGTTGTAATTTCTTTATTTGTTACTAGAGCCAGACCGATATATCGGCAGACCGATATTATCGGCCGATATTAGGCATTTTTCCAAACTATCGGTATCGGCAGTTATAATGGCCGATAAATGAATATTTCAAAAAATAAAATAAAAACGGACGAAACACGCTTGAACCATGTCATGAGTGTTGGAGTTGTATAGTTTGTCCACCAGAGGGCACTCTACAGCGTTCCTGTTGGCAACACTCTTTGAGTTGGTCACGAATTAAAAGAACGTCCCCATCAGTTGTCTTAACTCAAATAAGCATGACAAAATTTGTGACTATCATGTCCAGTTTCAAATAAATAAATAAAACATCGGCCGATATATCGGAATATCGGATTTTAAAACCCAAAAATATTCGTATCGGTATCGGCCTTCAAAATCCTTTATCGGTCGGGCTCTATTTGTTACCAAAATCACTAAATATTCTCCAGCCCCTTAATTTGCCTCATTTTCATGAGCTGGCCCGAATTCCAAATTAATTGAATAGCTAGCTCTGATATACACTCTTGTTTGTCATTGACCTTTGTGCTTGTCTGAAGGCGTTTCATTGTTCTTGGGAGCTCTCTGGTCCTCCTCAAGCTGATTAGCTAGTGCTTTATTCCATTGCATAACAACCTGAACCGGATCATACACATCACCGTGTATGTGAAAGTGAATTCTAAACTTTCTGCACTCCAGCATAGAAGGATATTACTCAGAGAATGCAAACAACTTATTATTTTGAGGACTTGCCATTACGTTGCATCTTGAGAATGCTACATTCCAGGATGCATTCCATTTCTATGAACGCTTCAGATAATTGTAAACAATTCTGCTATCTCTTTCTCTCTCCTGCTCCTCAGGGTGACACTCGGGGTCAGATGGTTTCGGAACGTCTGGGTCTCGGCCATAATCTGGACCTCTCAGACACTATGGTCCAACAAAAGTTGGAGGAGATCAAGGATCAGATAAAACGAGAGATCCGCAAAGAGCTGAAGATCAAAGAAGGAGCCGAGAACCTGAGGAAGGTGACCACAGATAAGAAGAGTCTGGCTTATGTGGACAACATGCTTAAAAAGTCCAACAAGAAGGTGGAGGAACTGCATCAGGAGCTTCAGGAACTGAACGCACATATAGTGGTGAAGGACCCAGAGGAGGTCTTAGGTATGTCTGACTTCTCTTCCTCATCTCCATCCATGTCTCTAGCTTTTGTACAGTTTATTTGTTTTTAATCACTGACAAAAAATTACCAAACGTTTTTTGGATCATATTACTAGGGCTGATTGATCTATCTTGATATTTTCAAGCCATTTAACAATATTAAATGTAATCCCCATGTTTTTTTTTTGTTAATAGGGGGAATTCCTTTTAGTTCCAAATAGATTAAACATGTCTAATGCATGTAGTAATGTCTAATACAAGAATAGTACACATCAAGTTAAAAATAATATGTTTTCACTAAATGAACATCAAGAGAAACCATATTTAATAATTTTGCATGTATGTACTAATATAGCAATCCATAGTAATAAACAGTAGACGTTACCTATTTTTTTTTGTGCTAAATCTTATAAATTCCATGTTAGATTTTTAATTGAAAAATAAGTCAGTTGACTTAAACCGAATGGAAATGAATCAAACTTACCAACTCTTTCACGGTTGTTGGCCACTGAAGTTTAAATCAAAATGCGGTAACACCATGAGGTTTATTAGTTAACAATTAACCTAACAATAAGGTTCATTAGTTAACATTAGTTAACTCCATTAGCTAGCATGAACTAATAATGAACAGCACTTATACAGCATTTATTAATCTTTGTAAATGTTAATTTCAATATTTACTAATACTTAATTCAAATCTGTGAACTAACGTGAACAAACAATGAACAGCTTTATTTGTATTAACTAATATCAATGAAGATGAACAAATACAGTAACAAATGTATTGCTCATGGTTAGTTCATGTTAGTTATGGACCTTATTGTAAAGTGTTACCCAAAATGTTATTGAATCTCATGTGCGGTGGATTGCAAAACTAGTTTGGCATTGTCTTTAAGGGGCTGTTTACACCTGGCCACTTCATGCGTTTTCTCAGATCGGATAGCTATCTGATTTATCAAAACGATTCCATTTACACCTGGTCACATAAGTGTGTTTTTGCAAAACGGATATAAATGCGATCTTCAATTCCCGAGCTACATGCAGATTTAATAAAGTGCACGTCACCGAAAGCAACGGATATGAACTAAATTTTATTGATCCTTGTCTAATTTCAAAATTATCAAAGACGGCAATAAGAGAGAGCGTCAACAGCCCTGGTAAGATCATTTAGTTTCTTTACTTTTAATGAAGATGGTAGTGTTAAGCGTCTGCGACTTGCTTTCACTTTGATTTGTGATAGATTGCAGCGCGCTGGCTTTATAGGCGCTCAGCTGCTCATCTGTGGTGATGCGTTTCACAGTAGCGTCGTCATATCTGACTAAAATAACGTGACATATGGCATATAACACGCTCACACATTTATTTTTTTAGCATTTTTGGGAGTAGTAAAATGTACATATGTGGTTTCAACAACCAGATGCATTTACACATGTCCAGTTTCATCTGGAATGCGGCCCAGACCACCTCCTGAAGTGGTTTGAGCGATCGGATTCAAATCCGTCTCAAATGCTTTTCGGGGGCTTTTACACCTGGTCTTTTCACGGATAGCTAACCGATCACAGTCACAGAAAACACATGAAGTGGCCAGGTGTAAACGGCCATGTATCTAACATGGTACCAATACCATGTTTTGGGCTGTGGTAATACCATAGCACTCACTGGACCTTGCTGAGGTGCATGTAAATTACATGTTATATCAATATTGTCATCAGTATAATGTCATGCATTCAAATGCCATGTTATTACTGTTGAATACTGTCACTGTACCTTGGTACAACAAAAGCACTTTTTTTTGCTCTCGTGTGGTTGTACAACGAAGGGCTTTGTTTCCAAAACACTAGTTATCCATAGATGTTACTCTACCCTGTAATATTCTCTCTCTCAAAAAAAAAAAAAATCACAACAAAGACCAATGTTAATGATTTGTCAGGAGTTTGAGGGATTATCCAAAACAGAGGGTTTTGTATTTGCCTTTTTGCTTATACAAACAGCTTGCTTTTGAATTATGTTTCTTATTTATACCATCAGCCGGTTACTGAAAGAACACTTTATTTATGCGGCTGTCTTTATTTCCCTTTGAACTTTATTATTGATAATAATACTGCAGTAGTATAATATGACCTGCCAAAATAACCATAAATTAATTCAAAGAAACAGTATGGCAAGAGTGTTTGTCTTTGCATCTCTGTGTGTGCAAGTGTTGTATTTGGCTCATGGCGTTGTGGTTTGACATTATAGTGTGACTCTTTGTGGCCTTGAAATGATGAATGCAGACTCATGATTATAAAGCTGTATTTTTTTTTTAGTATAGCTTCAGGGGACTTCTGTTGCATTTAGAATCATGTCTTTAGTTTCTCTTTAGATGCATGCTTTTGTTACTGTCTCACCAGCTATAGTCCTTGTTCTTGGTTAAGGCCACAATGATATTACTGTCTAGACCAACGGTAGACAGTCATTTTTTCTAAGTGCACTTCAGTTATGTTCCCTGAACATAATTGCATCACATGCTTTAAAGTAGGAAGTATTTTGATTGTTTTTATTGTCCGTCTATGAAAGTGATTCCAGCAGTATTGGTTCTCTGTATCCTTATTGTTACAGTTTTGGTGTGGACTGAGTGAACTCCCAGTTAAGGCCTGTTCACACCGGGACAAATTTTGCGCGCCTAGTGACTAGGGTTGGGTATCGTTTGAATTTGAACGATTCTGATTCCGATTCCTTGTTTCGATTCCGGTTCCTAACGATTCTCGATTCCGATTCTTTTAAGAGGCAGGGTCAAAAAAGTTTAGCTAACCTTGCTAACCAACGGTCTTTCTGAAGGAAATAATCCTTTCTGAAAGAAATACTCCTTCTGTCACAAAATTCTCCTTTTGTCACAAATTTTGCATTTTGCCGAGATTTCGTTATTTTTAGAAAAGTGAAGCCACACTTTGGATCGCCGACGTAAGGTACTCATGTTTGACTCGCGCGGTTATGCCAACACTTCCGGTAGACGCCTCTTCGTTGGTGTTGTTCAGCGGTTTCTTCTTCTGCTCGGCGGACTGTGAATATCGAAACTAGGAATCGAAATTTTAACTTTTGAACGATTCCGGGAAAAACGAAAAGTTAGTCCCGATTCCAATCGATTCTCGATACCCAACCCTACTAGTGACTAAACAAAGGGCGCCAATGTGAGTGTACAAACCTATGTGAAATATGCCACGTGTTAAAACGTCATTTTAAAAAAAACTGCCTCGGGCTCGTTTTTTGGGTTTGATGCAACGCGTCTCAAACTATGAGCCATAGAGACCAATGAGATTGGCACTTTTGCTCGCGTGTCTGGTGCTTCCGAAGTTACAGTAAAACACAACTTGGGGGAGCTCAAACACAAAACGGTCTAGAACGATTTTTACAACTTTGTTTATAGTTATCGTTATAGATATTGTTCTTGGTGTGACTGAACAGATCAAACCAAAACATTTGTTGAATCTTTTTAGGTTTTTCAATTCAATGTAAGTTTATGGTGTGGTGTGTTAATGCATTTTCTAAACGTTTAAATGTATGTTTTTATTGGTCTGGTAAAAGCAACCTGTCCATCTTCAAGAGGGGGAGGGTGATGGAGGGATTAGAGTAGAATTAGGACAGGAAGTGTCTTTTTCCTGGCACTGAGTAGTGGGGAAACCCATGGCAAATGTGAGACTTGTCTTGGTCCGTTCTACAAATGCTTCATGAAAATCCCTGTACTGTATACTTTTAAAAACCACTATTACCTTCTTTGATTTTTAGTCCGATTGCAATAACTTGCTGACATGTTGATGGATTAAGTTTCTCTCAAGACCTGTTGCATTAAGCATGTTTTAGTTTCTACCCAGGCAAATTTGAGTTTAGTTTTTCACGTTTAAGAAGGTGTATTGGCTTTAGTGTTCATTGCTAATTTCTATGGAAGCAGGTTTCGGCCACAGAATGAAAAATGAAAAAAGGTAATTGTGACTATCACACAATTCTGACTTTATTTCTCAGAATTGCGAGATATTAAGTCAGAATTGATTCATATAAAGTTGCAATTGCTTTTATAAAGTCAGAATTGCAAGATATAAATTCAGAATTGATTGATAGGAATAGTTCACCCAAAAATGAAAATTCTGTCAGTATTTACTCACCCTCAAGTTGTTCCAATTGAATTTTAATTTTATTAATGTTTTGCTTTTGTCTTTGTCACGACAGAGCTGTCAAAAACAGGGCTTCCACCTTACCTTTGCAGGTGTATAATTTGTGGTTAAGTGTTCTTGTCCGGACATGAGTGGATGATCTCATCATTCTGAACCTCAGTGTGTGTGTGTGTGTGTGTGAGAGAGAGAGAAAGAGAGAGAGAGAGAGTTTCAGAGGAAGAAAATGACACAATTAGCCATTTGCCTTTAACTTAATCATGTTTTCAATCATACGTGGATTTGAGTAGTTTTAGTATTGCTTGTTTAGTTAAAGATGAAAAATCTTTAATACTAACTATCCAGTTTTGCCCCGTTCTCAGTTTTTCTACTAAGGTGTTTTCTGTTCATGTTTGTGTTTGCTCAATCTTGTGCAAGTCTTTCCATGATGGCCTAGTTGTTCTCACAGAGAGTCTTTGAGAAACTTGCACACTGTCACATGAGAGAACATTTGCATTTCTCCTGCCTGCACAAGTCCTTCACTGGGTGTCATTATATCATTGTCATTTTTGCTTATTACACAAGTCATCAGATGCTAAAGTTAAACAAAAACCAGCACCCTCATAGTATCTGGCTACATGTTTTAACAAGTTGTAATTTTGGCTTGGAGGAAAAATGTTCTTTATCTTATAAAATACCCTAAGATTATTATAATAATATTGTTTGTGTTGTCACAACTCTTCTTATCGCCCTTTCCTTTTCTTCTTCCTCAGATTAAACGCTAAAGTGTGAGGTGCTTTGTTTAGCTTAAAGGATTAGTTCACTTCAGAATGAAAATTTCCTGATAATTTACTCACCCCCACATCATCCAAGATATTCATATCTTTCTTTCTTCCTTCAGTCGAAAATAAAAATTAAGGTTTTTGAGGAAAACATTCCAGTGTTTTTCTCCATATAGTAGACCGTTATGAAGGTCCAAATTGCGCTTCAAAAGGCTCTACACGATCCCAGCTGAGGAATAAGGGTCTCATCTAGCCAAACAATTGGAAAAAAACAAACATTTTGCATATACATATGTTCACACATTGCTTAATCATACTGGAAAGGTCAGGCGGTAACCCGACATAGGCGTAAAATGTAGGTTAGGGTGAAACGCATCAAATTTTCTCCCCAACTTCAAAATGATCAGACATTATTGTTTTACCTTTTATTTATTTATTGTAAAGGGCGTTTGACTTGGTCTTTACACACTTGATTTGTAAACACTAGGTTGGTCACGCGTTACCTTTCAACGTGATTACGTAATGTGTGGCACATCACAGCTAGTGCAAGACGAGCATTTGTGGTAAATGTATATAAATTAGGGATGCAACGATACATTTAACGGTTAAATACATACCTCAGGTTTTTTAACCAAGGTTTTCGGTTCGGTTCTGATGGCTTGACGCAAAACATTGTTTTTTTTTTTTTTGTTTGTTTGTTTGTTTTTTCCTATGCTTCTATGCTTAGGCAATAGAAACCGTAAGAGGTTAAGGAGTTGGTAAACATAAATTGACCATTTCAAATAAACTTAGCCTACTTGCACTTCAGTAAAGTGTTTCCGTTTGAGTAGGCTACACGTGTAAAACAATGCTTGCACACAGTCATTTTTTTCCGTTTTTTTTCTTTCTCGCCATTATACTCAACAGCAAAACCGAAATGTCCCCACAACATGGATTTGAAAGACTCACGGCGCTTCCTTGTAACGTTACTGTAGCCTCGCTTCACCGCTGCTCGCCATGTTAAAGTGTGGAATGATGGTTAAGCCCTTTGCGGTCCCCCTAACTTTAGAGCATAGTGATTGAATATTTACTCGCAGGAAGGAGTTTCCTCATGTCAGCTCGTAGACAAAAAACGGTCAATTCGGAGAAGAATAAAACATACATAAATCATTTAAACGCAAAACTGAGATAAAAACACAACGTATTGAACTGCGGATGTCGTACCAAAGGTTCAATATCATATTGAGAATTGTGGCATCCCTAATATAAACCTGTGTGGTCTCTGGGGTCCTCTCAAGCGAAGGACTTGCATTCCGATTGGTGGTCGCCGAATCGCACCATAGCTTATTACCATAGCTTAGTACCAAGTTGCCCTGACTCCAACTTTCCTCAACGCCCACACCGCCCAAGACGCGCGGAGCCGCTTGTCACCAGCTCACATTGAAAATTAATGACATCCGGTCACCTTGGCGCTCTCGCCTGTGGTGGCGTGAAAGCAGTTATTCCTCAGCTGAACTGCATTGAAACTACAATTTGGACCTTCAACCTGTTGATAACTGTTGGAAATCCATTATATGAAGAAAAATCCTGGAATGTTTTCCTCAAATACCTTAATTCCTTTTTAACTGAAGAAAGACAGACATGAATATCTTAGATGACATGGCAGTGAGTAAATTATCAGGAATTTTTCATTCTGAAGTGAACTATTCCTTTAAAGGATTAGTTCACCCAAAAATGAAAATTATGTACTAAGACCTCCGCCCCTAAGACCTCCGTTCATTTTCGGAAAACACACACAGTTTAAGATATTTTAGATTTAGTCAGAGTTTTCTCTTTTTTTTCTGTTTTTCTTTTGAAATGTATGTACGGTATACTGTCCTTGTCCAGAAAAGAAATAAATACATCATCAAAGTAGTCCATGTGGCACCAGTTGGGTTAAATATATTTTCGATGCCAAAAATAACAAAAACTACGACTTTATTCAGCATTGTATTGTCTTTCGGTTCTGTTGTCAATCTGCGTTCATAAGTCCGCAGTGACGCTGGTTACGTAAGACGCTGCTGACGTGCATCTGGTGCGTCCGTGTATTCAGTTTCAAATAAATATGGCTGACCTTGACATCTTTCACTGTGTTTAAATCCTTAGACATGTTTGCGAAGATTGTTTTGTTTACAGCGTGCATCTCCCTCAGACTGTAAATGAATCTCGGGCGCACCAATAACACATCAGCAGCGCCTTACATCATCATCACTGAACGCGGTTTGACAACAGAACCAGAAAAGAATAAATTTGCCTTTCGGGCTTGGAACAACATGAGGCATTAATGATTAATTTTTGAGTGAACTAACCCTTTAAGGCAATTAAACAAGATATCCATAAGCATAACTGTATATTCCATCAGTTAATTTCACAAAGTAGATGCCTGGTTCAATTAAGGGGGTCGCACACCGGACGAGAAGCGCAGCACCGCGTCGCGTCTAGGACAACTCCAGGTATCGCACACCGGACGCACACTTTCTCATCAGTGAATGGCCATTAATATTGTAATGTTTAATGACATGAAATGAAGATAATGTCTGTTCTATGTTATTATTGTACTGTACAATTAAATACAATCGTTGCCGAGTCTGCAGTCTGAAAACTTTACCTCAGAGCATCCGTTAACTGAATGAATTGAGAATCTCACCTGAAAAATCCAATAACATCACTAATTGTCATTCAAGCAGCTGATTTCTGTAAATGAATGCAAAACTACATGTATATTGAAGCATAGGGCGAAGTCAGGATCCATCAGCAACAATTCGAGACAAAAATAATTTAAATTGTATATAAAACTATGTAAATGGCGCTCTGTGGTTTAGCAGGATTTTGAACACGGTCCTGAGCCATCGCTGGGCGCGGCGGAGAGATGCCGAATGGCGCTGTCGGTGTGTGTACACTCATAGAGAATAATGTGTTAGAATTTTAAAGACGTGGCGCTGCGCTTCTCGTCTGGTGTGCGACCCCTTTAGCTATAAAGTGAACTGGACCTTTTTGCCGTTTAAAAGCTTGGCTGCATGAGACTACCCTTTAAAGGGTTTTAAACAAAAAAAAATAATATATATATATATATATATATATATATATATATATATATATATGTTTAACATCCTCAACTACACTTTGTTTGTTTTTCTGTGTAGTTCGTGGCTTACTATTGTTATAAAATGTTGTGCTCATGCTAGCTGTCCTGCATTTATCATTTTCTACCTGCCCTGAAGGATCGAGTGTGGTTTCGCTAATCTTGTTTGCATTTCCTGACCATGTGTTTGCAGTTGCTGTAATGTCTATAACATTTCAAACATGCTGTATGTATTGTTGTTTTAGTGCTTTATTAACTCTTTATTGATTTGTGTTTGTTCAATGTCAGAGTACCCACTAACCCCAGACACCCCCAAGAGTGAAGCCCGGACGTCCACCAACAATAGCCGACTGGCCGCTCTGAAGAAACAGGCCGACATCGAGCTCAAAGTGAAACAGGGAGCGGAAAATATGATACAGATGTATTCCAACGGCTCTTCCAAGGTAGTAGCCAGCGTTTAGAGAATATGTGGTGTGTGGGTTGTGTAGTCTAATGTATTTGCTTGTGATAAGAACAGTCATTTTTATGGACATAAATTCTCTGGAAAGAATGACCAATATGTGATGTTTTGTATTTGTAAAAAAAATGATGCCCACTTTTAAATGGGTTTACTGAACATTCCTCAATGTTAATAGTCCTACAACAAACTCACTGCATTAATTGAGCCAATGTTGCAGTGTTTGCTGTTTGAAATGTACTGATGGAGCCACTGTGTATACATTTTTCAGTTAAATCAACCTTCAAGTGGCAAACTTGTAACCTCAGCCACATTGGTATTTTTACCAAAAGAAGAAAAATTGGTTTTAAGCCAGTGTTTCACAGTAGGAAATGTTTCCATCAATTGTAATAATCCAGTGAGATTTTTGTATGCACAAGGAGTCTGACAGCAGCCCGTATGCTCTTCACGGAGACCTGATCTCAACATCACCAAATTCCATCTGGGATTAGAAACAGTAAAACCTGAGACAGACTAAATCCAGAAGACCTGCGGCAATGTATCCAAGACACTTGAGTTGCTACCTACCTGCAAAGCTACCTGATAAACTATGTGCAATCGTAGCTAGGGGAATAACGCAAAGGGTGGTCGCACCAAATATTGATTTGATTTAGCTAATATAAGTTAATTGATCAAATTGATTATTTATGACATTATTTTTGAAAGCATCCTTACTTTAGAGTATTTTTACACGAGTCCCTAAAACTTTGCTCAGTACTGAAGCTTTGCATGTAGGTTTCTTCAAGAGTCTGTTTCTTCATGCAATCACAGACAAACTCGACGATGGCTAGATCAGATCTCCGTGTGGAGCACACCAGCTGTTGCAATACTACTTGTGCATACAAAAAAATCGCACCGAATATTACAATTAATGGCTAAAAAGATAAAAATAACTCTTAAATACCAACGTGCCTAAGACTTTTGTATAGTACTGTAAAAAAAATACACTTTAGGTCTAAATTACACTAAAACTGTACTTCGCTCTTAGTCTCAGAGAAGATAAACCGTTTGATCTCTTAAAGATCTTGTGAGAGATTCATCCCAAGAAATGAAAACAGATGTTAGCAAACATGTTCTCTAAAATTAGATGAAATCTCCTTTCCTTTTTCCAAAAGAGGTAAAGGAAGCCAGACCAGACTCATTTATACACATATGCCAATGTCATGGTAGTAACCCCCTAGGGTGCAGCTGACATTAAGGAGAACTGGAATAGAACAGTTCAGTTATGTTACTCCACCCTCCCCCTCAGGAAATCACTGTTGGTTACTGTACATGTAGTGCATCTCATTACATATATGTAGTATCAGCAGAATCCATGGGTTAGTTTGGCTTTGGTCTGGAGTGTCAGACCCTCCTTTCCTCCCTTTTATCAAGAACGGTTAATTAAAGAGGCTCCATGGCTAAAAATATCATCTTGGACTCACAAAGGAGTTGTTAAATCAGCACAGTCTTTGTGGGGGAAATATATGGAGTGATAAACACAGGGAGACAGAACAAGGGAGTCTGACTCATTTCCAGATGTTTGAGCAGTTTAGTACCCTCCAAAAAGCTGTCACGAAAACATGCTCAGCACTGCGGAACATGACTTCATTTGAGTCACACTGATTAAGCGATTCTCTTGGCCCACGAATGCTCTGTTTAAGAACTTTTAAGTCAATTTTGCACCACTTGTGGCAACAAATCAAACAATTGCAAACTAGGGCTGTGGCGATAACCGCATTACCACAATACCGCAGTAATGAGATGCCTACCACGGTGTTGAGGTCAGCACCATCATCACTGCACTTTTTTTTTTTTTTTTTACACAGATAATGTTTAATTAAATACACAAACGCAGGCATAACAGACAAAAAAGCATAACAGAATCAGTTTGATTTTAGATTTTAATTGCAAGTGCTTATAGCCACTATTATTATGTGGTATAGACATTATTCAAACAGAACATTGGTGACGACTTTCACTCAGAGTTGGTAAAAGAAGAGAAAGCTGCAGAAAGAACAGGCCGAGCTCAACTTGCCCCAACATTGCTTAGTTCTGGTGAGTTGGGCTAAACTTTGATTCCTATTTCTTAAGACATTGTTTTTTCGGGTAAAAAGTCCCTGGATACAAAAACAAGTTTGGACTGCAAACAAAACTACAAACGCACTCGTCCAAACAGTCCCTGGATACAAACACACTTGTCCAAACTTGAAACTTGGAATAATTTATTGTACAAAAAAATGGGTTGCAAACAATAAAAAACAAAGTTATAGCAATAAATATTATTTCATGTTATTATTGTTAATGTTTATTGGCCCATGTTTATAATTATATTTTTTCTAAGCAAAAACTAAACGAAAAAGCCTATTGCATCATCCCGTAAATAACTAGGAAAATATTATGGATATTAGGCATGGGAATTTCAAGCAAAAATAATATTCGATGATCGCTGTGAATTATTCGAAAATCGCACTTCTCTCTCACATGTTCAATGGAAAAAACTGCGTTCATTCAAATCCGCAACAGTTCAACGCAATCTCACACATCACTATTATCAATCAAGCTGACTGCACAATGAATATCCACACTTTGTTTGTTATAATTAGAGGATTTGCCAGCATACAGAATTCAGCACTGAACAAGAACTCTGTTTGAACGGTGAGGGAGTCCATCTTAAATTCTTGGCCATTGCGTTCAAGAAATCAACACTTATGTCTGTGATTGAACATGTTATGAATAGAAACTCTGGCATGTAAATGGTTTATATTTTGTTTTAGTTGTTCTTGTTGCTTTTCTGAAACAAATAAATACAAATCTATTAGTTTTTTTATGTATTATTCATAGACATTTCTAGTTTGCGGCCCAAGGATAGTGTCGGGGTCGGTTCAGGTCAAGTTCGGGCTCGGGCAAAGAATAAGCTTTAGTTCACTCCTCCTACGCTAAGGAACCGAGAGCTATCCAGTCTCTTTAGAGTAGACAGAAGCCCCTTTTCCACCAAAACATTTTGAGAGCCGGTTCGGAGCCGGTGGCTGCGTGCCAACCAGTTCTTTGTGTTTCGACAGCCAAAGAACCGGTTCTCGGCCAGGAGAACTGGTTCCAAAGCGGCACCAACTCTTTGCTGGACTAGAACCGTTCTTTTACCACGTCATGCTTACGTCGGGGGCTGGGGTGGGTTTAGATGTGTTCTAAACATCTTTTCTGACCATAATAAAAGATCGCAAAGCCAAGAGAAATATTTGCAGAAACACGATGGAGTCCGCCTTTGTAATTGTTATGCTTGAAGTTCGCGCAAGCGTTTCTATTTTTGTATTTTTTTTTTTATTGAAGACATTATAAGCAAATAAGAAAATATAGACATCACAATATAGAACAAATAAATGGAGAGAAAAAAGACAAGACAGGGGTACGTAACTTATCAGAAAAGTAAATATCAAATGAAAAGATTAAAAGACTTGCATATTTCAATTGTTTTTAAACCCTTCTTGGTACACGAGTTGGAGATAATCCCAAAGTAATGTTACTTGAAAGCGTTTCTAGCTAAAACGTGTGGCGACGTACACAGTGACGTAACGACGTCATTCCCTGGGCGCTCTAGTCAGTGGAAAAACAAACAGGTTCTGAAGCGGTTCGCAAGTTGAACCAACTCCGAACGAACTTTGAACCAGCACCAGTTCCGAACCAGTTCTTTTTTTGGTGGAAAAGGGGTAAGAGAGAGGGGAAACAGAGAGAGAGGGGGAAGCTAATGAAAAGCTCAGCAGAACCTCATCCTCTATACACACTCGCTCTTCAACTCGTCCATCAAACCCAACTCCCCACTGACCACAGCTACAGCCCCAAAACTATTATTAAAGAAATCCACACACATCTAAAAGTCACTCATGATAAATCACTAAAAGCACATTTTGACCTCCAAAATAAGCTCCAATGTTACTCGACCCTAAGAGAACAACTAAATTGCCCAGCTATCTATTTATTAAACATTTTAAAGAAAGACAAATCCTCTCCAAATGCAGACTAAGTGACCATGATCTAGAGATAGAGAGAGGTAGACATAGACAGACATGGACCGAGAGAGCAGAGGATTTGTAGACACTGTGATCTACAGCACATAGAGGATGAGGAACATTTTCTGCTCTTCTGTCCCAAATATACCGATATTAGAGAAACTTTTCTACCCAGATTTAAAACCTTGATCCCATCATTCTCTGATCTGAGTGACACTGAAAAATATGTCCTTCTTACTCGGAGAAGATGATAATACAGCTACACTAGCGGCTAAATATGTGTTCGCTATTCACAACGCCAGACAGCTAATTGTATTTATTCATTTATTAATATATACTGTGTTTATTTATTTACCATGCTACATATGACATGATCTATACATATATGTTCTGTTTGTTTGTTCTATTGTTTATATATAATATAACTATGACTTTGGCATGTGCATTTTTCTCTGTAGGCACTTTACTGTATAATTAAAAAAATATATTTAATTATAATTTTTTTGTTTTTTTTATTATTTTATTTTACAAATTCATTATTAAAATATATATGCACGTGCACTACTGTGGTGATGGCGAGTTGGCATCATCAACTTCACCTTTGCAACTGACACAAAAAAACAATGGTTTATTAATAAGCAATTAAAATGTCTCCTTGCTATATTTGAAACATTCAGTATTACTTTTTCAATATTATTTTCTTCACCACAGTAAGAAGGAAATGCCTTACCGTCACAGCCCTATTGCAAACAAAACTCCCTGCCTTTTAATGCTGGGCCATACGGGTAACCCTGTCCCAAACTCACACCATTAGTTAAGCTAATATTAGACACGTTAACTGGTATGTGGGTTTTGTCTGGTCAGTCAAAAATGAAGTGGTGAGTCCTGCATGCAGTTTCCAAGCTGCTTTAGACATCCGGAGGAAAGGCCTCTAAGGTAACGTCAGACTTACAGGAAGTTAAGTCCATAGAGACTCCTGACTCACATTCACTAGATTTGAATGCTTGGTGTGACAAGGAAACATCCCTTGACACTTCAGACAAACGGCAAGGTTTTCATTAGTTGGTTTTACTTTAATAACTTTAAAATCATAAAAGTAAGAAATGCTAAAAATATGAATTAAGAATAAGGTATGAGAGGTCATGCTTCAACTATGAATATATGCTCAGTACATCATTGGCCTCGTATACCTTTTTTTATTAAACAGTCAATACATAATACAGACATTCAGGATTCTTATTAAAACAATTTTTTTAGTTACACAAACTGGCAGTTGTTTATTAATATGTTTAAGGGGAATTTCTAAGGTGCCTCAAAAAGGGGTCTGAGGTGCAGTTTACACGACACTGTTTTCAACTAAAAACTGAACTGTTTATGCATTTTGGCTGTTCATGTACACGACAACATTATGGAGAACACAACAATGTTATGGAGGCCTCAAAATGCAAACTTTTGAAAATGGGTTTTAAAATGCAAATGTTTGAAATTGATAAAGCTATCGTTGCGGTGTAAACTGCAAAAGTGTGAATTTTTGAAAACTGTGACATCATGCGCATTCGTATTATGTGTTCTGTCTGTAGGCACGTAGTGTTGACACTGCCAACTACTGGCCAGGGGCCTGTTTCAGAAAGAAGGTTAAGTGAAAACTCTGAGTATGTTAACCCTGAAATGAGGGAAACTCTGGGTTTTCCGTTTCAGAAAGGGGGTTATATCAAACCCGAGAAAGCAGAGTAAGTCAAGCCCGTTTCTGAAAGAGAGGTAACTTATACTCAGAGTCAGTTATCATGGTAACTTACTCTGTGAACCTAACCTGGTCGGGAGCAGGTTTTCTTCGGTAAACCCAGAGTTTCTTGCGGTCTCCTCCCCTTTTTTAAAGAGTAAGTGCTGTTTAAACACCAACACTAAAATGTATTTACACATTCTTTAAGGAATATATATTGTTTGTCCATGGTTTAATTGACTAAATCTGGTTTGCAGCACTTTACCAAAAAATAAAAGGATTAAAACGTTTGCTAAACTTTTATTTGATTACCACCGTTTTTGATCATATATTTCTATTAAATCATAAAAAAAAATAATAGAACTAAATTATTTTTCAAACATAATTTAATAAGTTATTAATTATAAAAAAATAAGATGTTAATCTTATTCATAATCAATTATTGAAGTAAGTTGATTATGTTTTATTGAACAAATGTTTAATTTATTTAAATGTCATTTTAACTGATGATAATAACCGTAATTTAATAATGCAGTTTATATATTTAATAATTGTTTAATACCATAAACCGTGATATTTTCTGAGATGGTTCTCATACTGTGAAACTCTCCCCACATGGGGGATTCCCCCATGCCACCCCTGCTGTTAAACAAGTTACTCAACAACTTTTACTCATGTTTTAAATTAACTACTTTTTACTTAGACTGGTATGTTTACTTTAACTTAAGTAAAAATTTATCAAAGTAATAGAAGCCTACTTTAGGTTGAATAACATTCTTCCAGTTCCACCTCTGATATTATAACAGTAAGTTACTCTAAAATAGTTATGATTATGAATTATTAACAACAAATGACATTTTCAATGGTGTAGTTAGATTAATGTAACAATTACTATCTCTAGAAAGTATTGGTCTACATATTACTAAATCCTATATCAACCTCAACCACTTGATTAATACAAGGAGGAGAGACAAGAAACTGCACTTTTAATGCTTTCAAATTAACAATATACAATTGCATGAATTATTCTTGAATTGATCAAAGTGTGTAGAGGGAGAAGGTTACACAAAAAAAATATACCTTTTAAAAATGTATGTTAAATCCACTATTGTTTTATACTGAATTGGTCTATAGTTTATGCAGTAGCCTATTTAATGTAATTGCATCATATTTTATTTTAAATTACAGAAGAATTAAGAGTAATCCCTTTAATTAAATTACAATATTTAGATTACTTGGTAATTAATTACACCCAACACCTCTTTTTTTGTCTGGCTGTTGCCATGGTGACTCATAATATCTGTGCTCCATTGATAATGGCTTTTTATAGTTGTGGTGCACGCGCTTAACTCAGAGTCAGTCAACTCAGAGTTGATTGAACTAACTCATTTCAGCTGTTCTGTAACCGAAAACTCAGAGTTTCCCATCTCAGGGTAAGTCAACTCAGAGTTCAAGCTTTAACTCAGAGTTGGTTGAACCTCCTTATTGAAACAGGCCCCAGGTGTGCAAAATACTTTGTTTTTGTTTGTTTTCCCTGATCTGTGTGAACAGGGATTATTTGACATATTGACGTATATCTCCTTTCTATATTCATATTTGAAGGTTTATAAACTCTTTAATTCATCCATTTGTTTTACTTTTCTGCTGTGGCTACATCTGTAGGACCGCAAACTGCTCGCAGCAGCTCAGCAGATGCTTCAAGACAGCAAGACAAAGATAGAGTTCATTAGAATGCAGATCCTTAAAGCCAGCCAGACCAGCGAGATGAACTATGAGAACAATGATGGTATGTGGTATAGCTGATATCCTCTCTAATTATATCTATGATTTCCACTTTAAATGGGCAGAAGTGTGGTAATAAGTCAAAAATCTGATGTTAGCAGTAACTTCAAGCAAGCCTATCATCAGTCCCCTGGACCTGAGGATAGAAGAGTTACGACATCACTTCCGGATAGAGTCTGCTGTGGCAGAGGGTGCCAAAAACGTGATGAAACTGCTTGGAACAGGGAAGGTGACGGAGAAGAAAGCTCATTCAGAGGTTGGGTGCATTTCTATCATTGTTTTTATAGACTGATTGATCATTTTCTTGTGCTTATATAAAACCTTCATTTCTGTACTCATTTAATCCAGTTATTCATTTAACTAGATATTTGTAATTGCATGCATTGCCTCAAGGTCCAAATGTTTACAGCCTTTCTCACTTTACACAGGATGGTTAAATATTTTTAGAACTGTCATGAATTTGCTTCACTCATGTGTGAATAATATTCTGCAAATTTACCTTTTAATAGGTAGGAAACTGACAGTACTTTTTTTTTTTTTTTTTTTTTTTGGTGAATACTACACAAAATGTCACGATCTAGACAGCCCTACAAAAAAAAGTCATGTTAGCATAGCATAATAGTGGTCATTCAGAATACCAGCCATGTCCACTGAATTGTGTACATTTGGGATTAATATACCTGTTTATTATTCAGGTTATTGATTATTGCGTTTGCTCAACTGGCAGAGCAAGGTAAAAATCATAGTATTTTTTTTTTCTACTCTTTCTCTATGTAAATATAGCCGGGGTTGCTGGCATGGCGTTAAACAAACAAACAATTTTATAGCACAACTATAATATTACAATACCAATATTTACATAATTTCGTCATCTTCAAATGTAAACCATTAAGTTTTTATTTCGGGAACAGGTTTTTTAATGCTTATTCACATTACGTTAACAAGTATATGTTCTATGTTATTAACAGCACTTTAGAGTTCATATGAAGTAGTATTTACTGCAAAATATCCAATATAGGGTGATTACATCCAAAATATACCCATAGGCCTACCGATAAAGAGCAAAATCACTAGTATTTAGCCAGAACTGATTTGGTACCAATATATTGTGCATTCCTATACACAATAATAACTTGAATTAAAGCAAATAATTAACACAAAGAAATGTTCTTTTTTTAAAAAAAAGTTTAAAAACCAAACTGCATCTGCAACAATTTATGGTACAGGTTCATTTTCACAGAGAAATTTGAATCCTGAACATCCACAAGCTAGTCAACTGTGGCATATGTCCAGACTCTATCCCATAGATTTACCATGCAGTTTTCCACTCACACTGCCAATGTTACGCACACAAAACTGTTTATCTTTGTGACGGGTTCTAAATCCGGTTTGTCTTTCAAAGGTCTTTGGAGGTTTTGTTGACTGCATTTAAAATTTGTGTATTTAAGTCTCAATGCATTTCTAAACGCTGTCTAACTTTGTCTTGCAGGCTCAAGCCCGCTTTAATGAGTCCAGTCAGAAACTAGACTTGCTGAAGTTCTCTCTGGAGCAAAGACTCAGTGAATTGCCCAATAATCACCCGAAGGGCAATCTGATTATGGAGGAGTTAGCCATGGTGTCCTCCCCACCTCTCAGTCCACGCCAAAGCATCATGTCCACCAGCAACCAGTACAGCACTGTGGCCAAACCTGCAGCTCTGACCGGTAACAAAACAAAATTCATACAGTCACATGATACTCAAGGTGTTTTCTGTACTGTTTTTATTTACTGGTCCCTTTTTAGCTTGGTTTTAACGATGGCGACGGATCCTCCTGTATTCGACTGAATTTTTTTGTCTGCATTAGAATGCATTGTTTCAATTTATAGTCTTGTTCTCTGCAAATATTCGCTCCACGTGTGAATGGGCCCTTTAGTCCTTTATCACAACACATGGTACTGTGCGTTCAACTCTATTTGAGAGGGGGAACGGCTGTGTGGGTATAGGCATGTAGGAACTACACTCGACTTTTCGCACAGTGTCCACACACTTGGCCCCCTCCCCCACCCTTGGCTTTATCACACACAACTTTGACCTTCACTCTAAAGGAGAACGAGAGAGCTTACGTTACCATTATAGACTTGTACCATGTAGTGCTTTCCATATAAGGCTCCATAACTACTGCATGTGTCTTTAAATGGACATTTGTAATTGTTTGCACACTTATTATCTTGTGTTAATCAGAATAGATGTGTTTGGTGATTTACATCTCAAGATCATGCAGCGTTTTTGGCTCCGTGTAAGGTTTCTGTTTAAATCCGCAGGCACATTAGACGTGAGGCTCATGGGCTGTCAGGACCTCCTGGAGAACGTCCCGGGTCGCTCAAAGACAGCAGCTGTTCCTCTACCCGGCTGGAGCCCCAGTGAGGCACGCTCCTCCTTTATGAGCCGAGGAAACAAGAACAAATCTGGCAGTACCCGAACCCTCTCCAAATCCGATGATCTGTCCAGTTGAGTAGCTTTGTGTTTAAGATCATTCCCATTTAAGATCATTCCTAAGGAACTTGCATTGCCGTTGGGCTTCACCATTTCAAATTGAGTAACCAATGTAAATTACACTACATTCACAAAAGTTTGCTTTTAGCAAACTACAAAATAAGGCTCTGCAATTTGACATAATTTCATCTGCAGTCATTGTCTCTCCATCAAAATGACTTATCAAAATGACTTTTAGCTTTTTGACTTGTTCTGACTTGTGTGCAAGTCAATACACTACCATTCTGAAGTTTTGTGGCTAGTATTTTCTTTTTATCTGATGCATTTAATTGATCAAACATTACAGTAAAGTGTGTGGCATGTGTCACTGAAGACTGGAGTAAAAATTTGCTGAAAATTTAGCCTTAAAATTACAGGATTACAATACATTTAAGAAGATGTAAAAATAGAAAACAATTATCTTAATTTTGTAATCTTTCACAGTATTAATGTTTTTACTGTATTTTTGGTCAAATAAATGCAGCCATGGTTTTCTTTCAAGTATTTTTTTTTATATTTTGTGCATTTTTTTTTTTTTTTTACGAATCACATTAAATCAATGTATTATATACACATCTCTTGTGAATATATTCATGCCTCTGTTAAAGACAAATAATTTAAGAGGTATGTTGTGCTGTTATGGCAGATGAAATCGGTGCCGTTCTGAAGCTGGACAACACAGTTGTGGGACAGACCCATTGGAAGCCAGTCAGCAATCAATCTTGGGACCAGAAGTTCACACTTGAACTTGATCGGGTAATGCATGAGAAATTGTATAAAAGTCAGTTGTCAAACCACAGTCTTATCCCATAATCCCCTCAACACACGAGTGCACATATGCACACATGCACACCATTCCAGTCTCTCTCAATTAACTTTGGAAAAGTTAATCCCAGATTTGACCCAGTTCTTGTGGAAACTCTCAAAAGGCGGATCAGAAGTCATCGCTCAGAATCTCTTAATTCTAACATATATAAATGTTCCCTTTCTGCAATATATTTAGTCACACTGTTGCATAAGCAAACCTCAGCCTACTTTTAATGTTTTAATGTTCACAATCAACATTAGTTCCCTATTTGTTCATCTTTATAATGTATCTCCATTCCTCCGCATTAACAAACTGGTTGATTTTTTTTTAGACACTTTTTATTTTTATTTTGATGGAATTGCACAGGTTTCTTCTCGACTTCTCTCAAAACAAGTGTAAATTAAAATACTCCATAGGGAAGATATTGAAATTGGTTAAAAGTAAGACTGATTTGGAGGCTTTCGACTTGCTATGTTATTGTATTCAATTTATATTTGAGGATTGATTATGGAAAGAACTTAAACATGTCTCTGTGTGTTTTGACTTGCTTTTAAAATGTGTGACGGCATAATCTTTTAATCTCATGGCACGAGAGGGCTCTAATCAGTAGTTGTGCAATGGCAGACAGACTCTGAAAAGACCTGTAAAAGGCCTGCAAATGTCAAACTTTTGGTTTGAACTGTAGTGATACTCCTAAGTGGTACATCCTGGGTTAAGTTTCACTGTTACTGCGGCTCATGCTACAGATTCATGCTCAAAGCATAAACAGTGAGGTGTTAAGACCCTTAAAAATAAAATTCAGTGTTTGTACTGTGGACATGAATGATTCACCTCCCATACTTTCTAGCAACCTCATAGCAATGCCCTGGCAACCATGCACAAACTAGTTTCATTAGTAGTTTTAGCCTAAATGCATTCATGTACACTACCGTTCAATAGATTAGAATTGGTAAGTCTCTTGTGCACCAAGGCTGTATTTATTTCATTTAAAAAAATAGGAAATATTGTGCAACATTTTTAAATATGACAATTTAAAATATCGTTTTTCTTTTTTTAAATGTAATTTATTCCTATATGGTTGCAAAACAATTGCAATTTTTAATCAGGCATTACTTCAGTTTTCAGTCATTCTAAAATGCTGGTTTGGTGGGTCAAAGGGATCATTTTCTTTTTTTTTTTCTTTTTTTTTAAAGTCAAGTCATTTATTTATATAGCGCTTTTCACAATACAGATTGTATTAAAGCTGCTTCACAGTGATAACATGAAAGTAGTACAACACATATCAACAACATTGCTAAACACTAAATAACCCCAACTGAGCAAGCCAAAAGCAAGGCGACAGTGGCAAGGAACCAAAACTCCATCAGATTGGATGGAGAAAAAACCTTGGGAGAACCCAGGCTCAGTCGGGGGCCAGTTCTCCTCTGGCTTACATTCATATTGTTTATATATAAATATTAAATATAATATTGTTTGTATAAAACAGCGCCATAACATATCGCAGGCGTTGAGTTGTCTCTTCACAGGCGTTGGTCTTCTCATCACAGGATTTAAACTGTTATTCCCTTAACTAAAACGACTTGATGAAAACCTCTCGTCTCAGTGCATGCTCTCAATCGCTCTGGCGCGCGAGGCACTTTGGTAGCACTTAACTTAGCCCAGTTCATTCATTAATATCCAAGCAGAGAAGCAACCAAACACCTCCACATTTTCGCTATTTAAATACAGTTACACGAGTAGTGTAACTTGACCTTGGACGGTGACACAAAATAAAAAAGTTGTAAAGTTGACAATTATAATGTAGGGTGGAATACCACAGCAAGTGCGTGGGAGCACTTCGACTCGGCGCATATATGTGTATATATATATATATATGTATGTATATATATGGAGTCGGCGGAGTAATATCAACACTCCTGAGAGGAAGGGGAGGGAAGAGGATTATTCACGAGTGATGATAGGGACTTTAAGCAACATCTGTTGATAGAACAGCAATGGCAGCTGGAAGTAAACAGTTAACTGCCGTAGCTAAAGAGCGCAAACATCACTAAGCAACAGTAAAGTGGATGGCATAGGGGATAATTTAATCATAAGACTAAATACAAAAAGAAAGCGATTTTAAAAAGTAAGAGAAGGGTTGATTTTGGCATTTAATGATATACAGAAACGATTACAATGCCACACAACCTAAACCATAACATTAACTTTCTTATTCTGTCACGTAGTAACGACTACGGCAAATCAGCTGTTCTCCCGTAGTAGACGGTAGAACGGTAGTTACAGTAGAACACCGCGAAGGAGCAGTTAATGTCATGCATGCGCAATAGACCGACAGAATGCCGTTGCTGTTCAACCAGAGGCTGTTGCTTAAAGTCCCTAATATTACTGTGCGGAGTCAAAGTGCTCCCAAGTACTTGCTGTGGTATTCCGTCATACATTATAGTTTTCCAAAAAAAAAAAGTTTGTACACTGTGTAAGTGTGTATGTACTTGATATCAATTAAATTCTTTTCTGTTTGGCCTGTAGTCTCGTGAACTGGAGATAGCTGTGTATTGGAGAGACTGGCGTTCACTGTGTGCTGTTAAGTTTTTACGTCTAGAGGACTTCCTGGACAACCAGCGTCATGGCATGTGCCTCTACCTGGAACCACAAGGAACACTGTTTGCTGAGGTAATTAATTTTTTTCACTACACACAGACATGTAATACACAAATTTGATGGCCTTGTTGTGGATATTTTGGAGATGATCTCTCCCTCTTTGGACACAGGTTACATTTTTTAACCCAGTTATTGAGAGGCGACCTAAACTACAAAGGCAAAAGAAAATCTTCTCCAAACAGCAAGGTAAGATTATGAAGTGGCAAATATGCCTCAGTGTTGAGAATGGTTGACATGTTCACTCAAACAGATTAGATTAAGCAGCCTACTTTTAACACAGTTCTGTGGTTCAATATTGCTCTGCTGCGGGACAAGCGTTTGCACGGTGAAGTCAGAATGAACTTTGACCTTCTTTTTGATCTCGCTTGAATGCAAAACCATGCATTTACAAAAAAGGTTAATAGCTGGTTTAAGCTGTGTTCCAAAATCTCATGAACTGTCTGTCTACTGCCTACATGGGTAGTTACCTTCTAAGAAAGCACTTATCCATCATGGATCCAATAAGGATACATTTTGAACTATAGGTGTCACACAAATGGTGCTCTGCATGGGAGACTCAAGTTCACGCCAACACACAAATGTTCGGAACGGAATTTTGGTCTGTTAGCTGTTTAGTCCACTGCATAAAAAACTTAAATTTAAAGATGGGCTACATGAACAAGTCTGATATTGTGGCACTTGTAGATGAGCAGAAATACCCTGGTTACTCTCAGTCTGGTAACCAATGAGTGACAACTTTGTTTACATGTTCTCAGACAGCTGTTCAGATTTTAGTGTTTGGTTTTGTGTTCATAAAAAATAAATTAAAAAAAATCCAATTGTACATAGATGAGAGACAGTTCCAGATTCTTCTGCTGTTCACTGTCTCTTAGCATAACACTGTTCGTAAGCAACACCAAATTGTACTTTTATGTAACCTCAACTACTCTGGACATATGAATCTTTTGCAATAGAAAATTTATTAGAACACTACGGAGCCCCTCTAGTCCCACTTTGGTAAAAAAAAATTTATTATAACTATCTTGTGGCCTCAAGATACTAACTCGTGGCCTCAAGATACTAACTCGTGGCCTCAAGATACTAACTCGTGGCCACAAGATACTAACTCGTGGCCACAAGATACTAACTCGTGGCCACAAGATACTAACTCGTGGCCACAAGATACTAACTCGTGGCCACAAGATACTAACTCGTGGCCACAAGATACTAACTCGTGGCCACAAGATACTAACTCGTGGCCACAAGATAGTAACTCGTGGCCACAAGATACTAACTCGTGGCCACAAGATAGTAACTCGTGGCCACAAGATACTAACTCGTGGCCACAAGATAGTAACTCGTGGCCACAAGATACTAACTCGTGGCCACAAGATAGTAACTCGTGGCCACAAGATACTAACTCGTGGCCACAAGATAGTAACTCGTGGCCACAAGATAGTAACTCGTGGCCACAAGATACTAACTCGTGGCCACAAGATAGTAACTCGTGGCCACAAGATACTAACTCGTGGCCTCAAGATACTAACTCGTGGCCTCAAGATAGTAACTCGTGGCCTCAAGATAGTAACTCGTGGCCTCAAGATAGTAACTCGTGGCCTCAAGATAGAGTTAGTATCTTGAGGCCACGAGATACTAACTCGTGGCCACAAGATACTAACTCGTGGCCACAAGATAGTAACTCGTGGCCACAAGATAGTAACTCGTGGCCACAAGATAGTAACTCGTGGCCACAAGATACTAACTCGTGGCCACAAGATAGTAACTCGTGGCCACAAGATACTAACTCGTGGCCACAAGATAGTAACTCGTGGCCTCAAGATAGTAACTCGTGGCCTCAAGATAGTAACTCGTGGCCTCAAGATAGTAACTCGTGGCCTCAAGATAGAGTTAGTATCTTGAGGCCACGAGTTAGTATCTTGTGGCCACGAGTTACTATCTTGAGGCCACGAGTTAGTATCTTGAGGCCACGAGTTACTATCTTGAGGCCACGAGTTAGTATCTTGAGGCCACGAGTTAGTATCTCGTGGCCACGAGTTACTATCTTGAGGCCACGAGTTACTATCTTGTGGCCACGAGTTATTATCTTGAGGCCACGAGTTACTATCTTGAGGCCACGAGTTAGTATCTTGAGGCCACGAGTTACTATCTTGAGGCCACAAGATAGTTATAATTAATTTTTTTACCACAGTGGGACTAGAGGGGCTCCGTAGAACACTTATATATAAATAAAAAAAAAATTTTTTGAAGGATACATGCTATGTTGTCTCAGTGTAGCTGAGATTAGGTGTCGTGGGGTGCTGACACTTAGCAGGTTTGGTTTGATTAAAACAAACACTTGTGCGATTGCTCTGTTAGAGACCCCTGAAAAGGTGGGCCTTGGTCCACTTCCAAATGAACTCTGTTCGACTGAAATATGAATACAACACAGACCAAAGACATCTAAACAAACCGAAAGCCTGATGTGATGTCACAAGATACGACACTAAAAAGCACAGAATGCTCAAGCATGCCTGGTTTTTCTCGATATAGTCGTGATGTTGGCCAATTACAGTACAGGCATTGGAAAGGCCATCGTCTTGCAGCAGATCTTTGTGTGTGCAACAGAGGAATTCCTGACTCTTTCAACTCCTTTACACATTTTCTAAGCTCTTTGTGAGCTCTCAGCTTGAAAATACCATCATATGTACTGTACGCACATATAATGAGCATTACATGATTTTTTCTTTAGGTTTAGTGTTAAAAAATGCCAGTGAACACGAAGCGAATCAGTTCTAAATGTATCATTTTCTTTTTTGGTCCAGACCGAAGAACCAACAAGTGTGAACACACCCTGTATAAACCCTGCTAGAAAACATGTCTACAATGCTTTAAAATATTACCTCAACAAGTAGAGCACTTTTGGAACTAATGTTGTCTGCTGTTTAGAAGTTTCTTTATGTCACACATAAAAACCGTGTTCCTCTTATAGGTAAAACGTTCCCGCGTGCCCCTCAGATGAACATTAACATCGCCACCTGGGGCAGGTTGGTGAGAAGAGCCATTCCGTCAATCAATAACTCCTTCAGTCCTCAGGCGGCTGATCTGGGCTCAGCATTTAGCCCTGAAATGGCACCCATCGGCCACCCAGACGCCCACTCCCTACCCAGGTGCATATGTGTACAAATTCATTCCATCTTATCCACACAGACTATTTTCCTAAAAGAGCATCAGTAGCGGAAAGCCCTCAAATTATTCTGCAGTCTTTGATAAACAATGACTAATCTGTCTGGAAACATAATTGGTGCTCAATATTTAGATAATGAGATGATGACATAACTTTCCTGGTCTGTATTCCAGTGAATGCATTCTGTAATGATACTGTTGCTATGAGTGGTAACTTTTGTCTTCTCTTCATCAGCGACCCCACTGTGACCAAATTAGACTTTGATAAAGCTGCCACCCCTCCCTCAAAACGGCACTCCATCGATGTGGAGATAGAGGAAACAGAACCAACGGATAAGATCCAAGATAGAAAAGAGGTCCAGGTAAAGGAGAGGTTGTATTAAAGGGATAGTTTACCCAAAACTGACATATGTGAAAGACTCACCTTTATGTCGATCCAAACCAATCTGACTTTTTGTTCTGTGGGACATTAAAGGAAAATTTTCAGCTAAATGTTGATACCACTCTTATCCATACAATAAAAGTAGATGATGATCACCGAATGTGATTGTGAATGTGATCACCATTAATGTAGTTTTACTTTTAAGTAATACTTTGGGTTCGGAAAAGAAATTGAACTCAATATCGTTCACTGATAATCTTCACCTCAGCTCTCAAATCTCTTTGACCTTCATGTATATTTAAATATAGCATGCCAAGTCATGTGAATGAAGCGAATTAAGACTTTTTTTTTTCTTGCAAAAAGCTATCAAATGGCATATATATTTTTTTTGTTTGTTTTTTTGTCATTTATGGCCTTGACTGCCCCTGCTGTAAGGAAAAGAAAAGTGTACATCCTGCCCATCATGCTGTTCTGTGTTTTAATGGGCAAAAGTCAGCCATGGGTTTGGAACAAAATGATGATGAGTAAACAATGACAAAATCTTCATTTTTGGCAGAGCTGTCCCTTGAGGGGATTTTTTTTTTTTTTTTGCAAAGGTTTGGATTAACTCTTAAGTGCCTTTCGCCTACAGGATGCCCTAGCGACCTTTGACTTCCTGAACAACACAGTAGCTAAACCAGATTATGACAGTCTGGTTGAAAATGAGCAGCCTGACCTGGAACTGACTGCAATTCAACGAAAAACTGAAATAAGGTAGTATGTACCCCATTTCCTGGTGACATCATCGCTACATATAAACATGCATTCATTAACTGTAGTCAAATGCTTAAAGTGTATGTTCATGCTTGTAGGGAAGAAGAGGAAGTTCAATTCAGTTTGACAGACTTCAAATGTATAGCTGTTCTGGGGCGTGGCCACTTTGGAAAGGTAAATGTTGTGCTTTCACATGTGCAATAAGGCGAGCTCTGTAAAATTTGCAAATGTCCCATAAATTCACAGTACATTACCTTTTTCTATTTGTTGATTTTGTAATGTATTGTAGATTATCTCTACACATCACTAGTTTGTGATTTCTGCAGGAGATAGTTTCATTGTCTCATTTCTTTAATTGTTCAACAGGTTTTACTTGCTGAGTACAAGACCACTGGAGAAATGTTTGCCATTAAAGCTTTGAAAAAAGGTGACATTGTTACAAGGGATGAAGTGGACAGGTAAAGGCTATACATGTGTGTTTAAGTGACTTATAACTTATACTTATAACTTCATGTACTTGACGATGCCTGGAAGCATTTGTAGAGACATCAGTAATTGTATACATTGGGGACTATTCTGCTCCTGTTTTACTTCCTGTTATTATTAAAGGCAAATAGAGTCAGAGCTGTACTCTAGACATGGAGGAGCCACAGAGCATAGTGTTCTTACAGTTTTTGTCTTTACAAACTGTCCTTTTTGAATTGTCTATTTCTACAGAGCCCCTAAAGTGGCATTTTGGTGGAAAAAGTATATTTCATTGCTTTTGCATCAAGAAACATCAAGATGTTCCTCTAGGGGCTCCACAAAATTCATTAATTAATGTCGCATTCATTAAATTTAGTCTTCATTTAATTTGTCTTAAATGTCTTTAATCCATGCAAATTTTAGTGGACATTTTAGTTGATATATGCGCATATATATGCATATATAATGTATTTAATTCATGCAAATTTTAGTGGACATTTTAGTCTGTGTGTGTGTGTGTGTGTGTGTGTGTGTGTGTGTGTGTGTGTGTGTGTGTATATATATATATATATATATATATATATTTATTTATGCTGATAATTTACTCACCCCCATGTCATCCAAGATGTCCATGTCTTTCTTTCTGCAGTCGAAAAGAAATTTAGATTTTTGATGAAAACATTCCACATTTTTCTCCATTTAATGGACTTCAATAGGAACCAAATGGTTCAAGGTCCAAAGGACACTATCAGTTCAAACTGCTAACTGTCCAAAGGGCTTTAAACGATTCCCGACGATAAATAAGGGTCTTATCAAGTGAAATGATCGCTCATTTAAAAAAAAACAAAAAACACAAAGTTTAAGTTTTATAAGATCAATTGCTCGCCTTGCTCTGTACTGCGATGCACGTTTGTGACTCTTGTTCGAACTCGTCAAAATGAATGAATCTTTTTCCGATTTTTTTGTTCAATTTGTTCGTTTCTTTCGTTGAATAAACCAGATGACCCGACAAACGTGCGTCACAGAACAGAGCAAGGCGAGCATTTGAGCTCATAAAACTTAAACTTTGTTATTTATTTATTAAATGAGTGATCGTTTCGCTTGATAAGACCCTTATTCATAATCTGGAATCGTTTAAAGGCCTTTGAACAGTTTGCTGTTTGTACAGAAAGTGTCTTTTGGACCTTGAACCATTTGGTTCCCACTGAAGTACATTATATGGAGAAAAATGCTGGAATGTTTTCATCAAAAACCTTAACAGCAAAAGTTTTTTCAAAAGTGAACTACTCCTTTAAGTTTAGATTGGTACTGGGGCTAAGACTTAAGCATTAAATAAAAAAATATATGCTTCTAATATATCGTACATAAGTTTGTAATGTAACATACATTATCAATAGTTACTGTTAATAATATATGCATTTTGGCATGCAACTCTCCATTCCAAAACAGCATATTTAGCATGTTCTGTGTTATAATTATTATGCATTCAGTTAATGTGGCCAAGTTAATTAACATGAACTTCATGAATGTTTCAACTTTTAAAGTCCCCCTGTTGTCAATAGTTTAATCCCTTAAAACTCCAAAATTACACATATAAACAGTTTTCCAGTTTTTTTTTGTTTGTTTTTTTTGATGTTGTGTACCTTTAGACATAGCTGTCAACATTGAACACTGAAAATAAGGGAGTTTTCCCGGGATCCATCCCCAAAATAAGGGATTTTTTTTTTTTTTTTTACACGATTCTTACCCACAAACTTTAAAAATAAAGCACTAATCCTTAAAAGTCTAAGAAGTTTAATAACTAGCCTAGAAACTAGTGTCATTTAAAGAAAAAAAAAATCTACATTTGGATTAGCGGTGTGTTGCTCTTGCCTTTGCGACAACAATTTCAACTGTTATCACATCTTTCCAAAACCCACAAAATAGGAAAGTGGGCTGTCTGTTTATTTCAATTACATTTAGCCTACACATTTTGTGTAGTTTTAAAGAGCCTATATTTAGCCTGGTGGTGGACCGTCACTCAGAAGACACACTCTGTTGTTATTGTAGCCTATCGTATCTTTATATCCTCCTGAGGCCCAGAACGTTTTTTTTCCAAAAGTTTTTTCTTCTTCTTCGTGTAATCACATTGTTAGAAGGCATAAGAAACAAATGAAAAAAAAAGAAGATATTTTATTCATATGTTATATGACCTTAAATTATATATAGGCAAAACTAATGGCAATATAAATCGATTATTATAATTATTATTTGTTTAAATTACATTGATATCTGAATTTATGTAAAAAACTTGACTTTCAAACATCAAAATGTAAAATGTAGGCTATTCGAGTACAAAATGACATATAAACATCGTTTCCTATTTTTTATTTATTTTTTTTGCCTGGAAACGCTTTCAACACGCTTGCATGTCGCTTGAAAAAATAGGCGTCAGTTCTATTTCTAGCATGCACGCGTTTTCTGGAGAGCGCGTGTCACGCAGGCAGTGTGCAAGCTCTAATCTGTTAACATGGGAGCGAAATAAAACGGACACGCCACACAGCCAGTGTGTCTCCGGCCAGCGCGCGCGGCGCCGCATCCGAGGTAAACGACTTCAAGCCGAATCAGCCGAGCTCGAACGTCTCACACAATCATAGTAAAAAAACGGGATATTTTACGGGAAGATACTAAAACGGGAAGACAGCGGGAAAAGAGCAAAAATAACGTGAGAAACCCGAAAAAA